TCTTGTGGTGTAGCCCCATGATCCCTCCCGNCCCCCCCTCCTAAAAAAATTCTCTAGATTAGTCTTCTTATTCTATTCTATAGTTGTCACAATGAACCTTCTCTAAACATACAGTTCAATATGAAAGAACTTTGTTTGAATTTTTGATAATTAAAGATTTGTTTTTATTGTTAACAATATTACTAATACCTTTCCTTACAAATTAAACCAAATATTTTTCTTCCCCCGTTATACATTGATATTACTACCAAATATCTGCCATGCACCACTCCTGTCATCAGGGGATCTGTTAGCAGCTCAGCTTTTGTTAAGTCCCTAAAACCTACGAGTCCCTTGCACCCCTCCTGGCCTAGAATGTGATCATTATTCCATCAGAAATCTCTTTGTGGAGTAGATTGATCAACTAGTTGACATGCAGTCATAAAGGGGATGGGCTACCCCCTGTTGTGTAGCCCCATGAAGCAAAAAAAAAAAAAAAAAAATCAGGCTAGGAAGGTGTACAAGAGATTGAAAGTGCTAGAAGCGAGTCTGGTTGGAAGGTTTGTTGGGGTCGAGTTGGAAGCTAAGAAGGTAGAAGATTGAATGATGTTTGAATGGGGAAGGAACATGGTTCTGGGGGTAAGGAAACTCAATGGGGTTTGTTTCTATCCATGTTTAACAGTAGAGCTGGATCTGATTGGGTCTTGGAGTCAGAAAACGAGAGGGTTTGGGAGTTCGACTTACGTTTGAGCAGATGGTACCCAGTGGCTAGGGCAATTTACACCAGCGGGAGGAGATCTTTGTGGATTGGGGTGATGAGAAGTCCTCTCCATGCTTGGTGTTTACTTACCTTCAGAGAAATTGGGGATCTTTGTGGCAAATTTCTCAAGCATAACAACAAGAACAGGACATGGGAGAAGCTGGATATTTCTAGAATCCTGGTGGAGGTAGAGGATGTCACCAGAATCCTGAATGTGGTGGAACTTCAATTTGCTGGGGAAAGTTATGAGCTAAGAGTGTTTTTAGAAGGGGAGGACTAGACTTTTTTCATTGTGGTGAGAGAAGAGGAAAGCAGAAAGATTGAGATGGAGGGGAGACGAAAGGGCTTTCGGAAGAGTAGGTGTGAAGGTGGAAGGAATACAAAGAGTCAGAGGAAGAAGGTAGAGTGCAGACAAAGATGGGGAGTGAAGTGGAACCATGGGTTTTGAGGAGGGAAGGCCAGTGGAGGGTACTGAAGGGTTGTGTAAGGTGTTTAGTGAAGTTGGTCTTGAGAGTGGGGTCCACCTATTAAAGTTGAAGGATTTGGTTAAATATAGAGATGCTTGATGGAACAAACTAAAGATAATTAAAGGGGTTTCAAGGTTTAGGAGGAGAAGACCCGATTCAAAGCTTGAAGAAGGAAGAACGAAGAGTGGTTTTGGAGGGTTGTTAGATATGACTGTACTGGAAAGAAAAAAGGTGTTTTTGGAACTGGAGATTGCTCAAGATGATGGTGAAGTGTGCCAAAGCTCTATTAATTGCAAGTTGCTGGCCGTGTCGAGTGCAGCAAGTGTGCAAAGTGAAAGGAGAGCTAGGGTGGCTAGGGAGGAGTGCAGTCAACAGGTAGGTACTGTTTTGAGGTAAAGTTTTGGTTCTTTCTGGGTCAAGCTTCACGATGGTGCGCTTCAGGAAGGGAGGAGGGATTTGGTTAATCAGGCCTGCATGGTTTAAAGAGTGGAAAGAGAAAGAGGAGGTGAATTTGGGAGGAGAAGTCGCAGAAGAAGCAAGGGGATGGGAGTGATAAAAAAGGAGAGGTAGGGAGGGAGTTGAGAGGATTGAAGGGGGCAGATTAGGAGTGATAAAAAGGATTGAAAAGAATGGTACAGTAGGAGGATGTGTGAGGAGTTTTCAAGAACTGAAGTAGTAATTGGGAGGTTGGGTGTCGATTTGGGTCGGAAAAGGAGAAACACAGACTCAGAAGGTTCTGTGGGTGGACCAAGGTGTTGAAGAAAGCTAGAGTTGTGAATAATTTCCGCTTGGTGCATGTTACTAAAATTTTTTCAAGACTGAAAGGGGGCCCGGTTGGGGCCGATCTAACAAATAAATTCAAGAGAGTATAAGAAAAGGGATCAAAATTCAAGGGATCTATTAAGGAGATGGTCCAGAGGAGAGATAGGCTTAAGTGCTAGAAGGGGTAGTGACTCATCCATTAGTTGTATCTGATAAAAAGTTAGAGCTAATAGATGGGTAGAGGTACTTTAAAAGGAGGAGGGAGGTGTGAAACAGAAGAAACTTGATGAGTTTAGTTCTGATAGCAAGGATGAAAAGGGAGGATTGGTGGAAATCGAGAATCTAGCCGGTAAAGAGTCAGTGTTGGCAAGAGTTTAGCTTTGTTTTATTGGGGTGGAGAAGAATTTGCTAGATGAGCGTTTGAAGTTTTTGAAAGAAGCAAGAGGGAGGAGAGACTAAAGAAGATCATAGTGGGGGATGGAGGAGAGGCATGGAATGAGGAAGGAGATGGGCAGGAAGAAGATGTGTCTGAAGATGTTTAAGGTGTTGGCAATTTAGCAAAGAACTTTAGGATCTGTCCACTAGTTTGTGGTTCTGGAGTTTTAGGAAGAAGATTAATTTTTCCAAGAAAAGCTTTGCTTTGTGTGTTTTCTTTTCCTTTTAGATCAATGTAATGTTGTTGTGTTTGGACTGTGTTGATCTGGCTGTTGCCTTAACACCTGTTGTTGATTGTATTCATCTTTTTATTTTAATGAATATTTTTCTTTAACCTTTCAAAAGAGTTAGAAAATCCCACCTACACCAGAATTTTTCTGGTTACCCAAATTGCATCCATCCAAATTTAACTTGATATTTGATAAGGTTTGAAGCTGCTGGATACCATCTGACTAAAATATGGTTCTACCTAATGATGAATGTGCCACCTAATAATGAAATCTGTTGAGAAAGGAGCAAAATCATCTAACGAGTTTACCCAATATGCCACTTCCGCAGAAGCATTATTAATGACAGCATCCTTTGGTTGTGCTTTGTCCTTGAAAATTTGCATATTTCTTTCTTTCCATGTTGTCTATAGGACTGCTATACTTGTATACCTCCTTTATCTTCTCTAAAGAAACCTTAAAAAGGCTTTCCACATCTCTTGGTGGAGTTCACCTTCAACTAGAGAGAGAGAGAGAGAGAGAGAGACTTTGATGAGACACACTAGTTTTCTCTTTTGAAGGATCAAAACTTATTGATTTGAAAATGTATCGTCTCCTAAATACAAGTACTTATTTTAGGTGGCACTGGCCCACTCSAAATAGCTTGATCGGAAAAGCTTGCTTGGTGTTGGAGGTAGAAGATAAGACCTTAAAAAGGAGTCATAAAGTGGTCCCCATGTACTTTGGTCTATTCCAATAAATTCAACTTAAATTTGTTTATTCTAAGCGGATCAGGTTGGCAAACTTGGTGAGAACACTTTGTAAACACTTATTTTTCTGACACCTGTCCCATAAATGCATAAATGCCCCAGTCTACATTGGAATGAATCAAAGCAAATTTCTAAGACAGCTATCAGAATATTTAGTGAGTGCTTACTCATTGTACTCACAAGGGTGTGACTGCCAATGTTGTCAAAATCTTATGATTTACGATACGACTCACAACTCAAATCATGAATCCCAAGGGTTTCGATTCGAATCTTATGTCCGAATCCTTTTCTGCAAAAATTTTACAATTTTGTTTGAATCCTACAATTTGATTCATAAATCTTACGATTTCTACGATACAAATAAACTCAATTAAGAAATAGTTCTCTACTTTGTTATCTTTTTATATATTTAGTTTTGCCAAGGGAGACTTTTTTTTAAAGCCCTTACTAGAAAACTATTTATTTACATTATTTAAGACAAGAGATTGAGTTTATTTTCCATCATATGTAGGTTAAAGAGGCATTGTAACTTGATTATATCATCTTAGGTTTCTATTGTTTTAAGTACATGTATGGTAGATATAGATTAAAAGTAAAGTCACTTTCCTATCTATATTTAGCCTTTTAATATATCTATATTTACTTTTTTGCAATGTTTTGTAAAAAATAGAAATAATCTTGTGATTTACGATACGATTACGATTTTCAAAACATTGGTGCCTACTAGATCCAGTCTTGTGAAGGATTTGATTCCATTTGAAGATTTGTTAAATGTTGGGAAGATATTCATGGTATGGATAAGTCTCTAAATGTTTTCTGTGTTAACAAATGTTTCCATATTTAGTTGCACTTTTTTGGAAAACAAGTATCCTGTAGATCTTAAAAGAGATATGGTTAGGGGTGGCAATTTCTGACCTGACCCATCCAACCCATCCACTTACAACTTACACCCACCCATTTAAGATGTGGGCAGAACATGGATTGAGCCACCTATTGAGTCAATTAACATTCCTCTTCTGGATATATGGTAGGATGGTCCAGCCATATTCATATTCATCTTTTATATGGTAACTACATGGTGCTCGGGATTTATTATTCTTTTGCTTGCTTTGCATCTGACATTAAATGAGATTATTTATGCTTATTTATGCCCTGTTGCATGTGAATGGTAATAACATCAAGCCTTATGTTTGGTTTGAAGGAAATGGTAGGGAAATCTATACAAAGTTTATATTAGGTTTTCCTGCCTTTCCCTTCTTTTCCCTACTTTTGCCTTCAAACCAAACACAGGGTTATTGGTTGGCTTTCTTTTATTATGCTGTGTTCTGTAGTGTCGATAAAATTTCTGCTTGCTATGTATCATGTAAATAGTAAAATAGTGTCAAGCGTATGCTTCCCCCATCTATTCAACTCGTTGTTTTCTTATCCCAACTATGGAGTTGGCTACACAAGTCCTGGTTCCCACTCCACTGTTATAAGGGTTTTATGGTCTGATGAATGATGAATCCTATCTTTGTGCCTTTTTTTTTTTTAAATTTCCATTATTGGTTGTTTATTATTATTATTATTTTGATGTGTTCTGTAACGTCGACAAAATTTCTGCCTGCTATGCATCATGTAGTTATCCTATCTTGAGCAGGGACCCCCTCAGGATGAAAAAAAGGCACCCTGTAAAGAGTCGGCGGATAATGCTATCGTAGTTGCTAAAAGAAGGCAAGTTGACCCACTATCTTTTTTTCTGATTTACCCTGTCATTCTGTTGCTAACTAGAGTGTAGTTGATTCCTGATGAATGGTATGGTATGGCATTACAGGTCCTTCTCCAGGTCACCCAGAAAACCAGCCCACAGAGACTCTCCTGTTTTCCATGTACAAGCTGTTCCCACAAGCAGGAAAAGTGGTGTTCACCTTCCGAGAAGCCGCCTCAAGGATACGTAACGAGGACGTGTGAGAGATTTTACGAGTTCTCTTAAAATGATCCAAGATCCATAACCATAAGGAATCTCCTTTTGATCATCATCCAAGTGGCAAGTGCAACTAGGCAAATGGGCTATTCCCCAGATCCGATGGTATAACCGACAAAGTCCCTAATGGTATCTGGCTATCACTGAAATCTCTAGGTGGTTAAGGAAAATGCGGAACAACAGGAGGCAGAAGCTAAAACTCGACTCGAGATCTTGTCATCTTGTGTCCCTTGATGGATGTAACTTGAACGAATGCATTATTTCAAGAAAAAAAAAAGCTGGCAGCTGGTGGCAGCTGAACCTCCTCCCAAAGGACTAACAAATACACATCCAGCAAGGTTTAAACTTTAAAGCATCAGTATTGTAAAGCCAATAAAAAAATCAGTATTGCAAGAAAAAAAAAAGCTAAGAGTGTATGACATGGATATACTAGGGAAACTCAAATAAATTCTACAAATAAATCAATAACGTCTAATTTTGGGCTAAATTAAGTAAATATACGCCAATATTACACACAGAGAGAGAGAGAGAGTCTAATTCCAGATGGCCTCATCACCTTCCTCACAACGTTCATGAACCTCCTCCATCCTCTCCATCGATTTGCAAATGCCACTGCAACTCCAATCGAATGATGCGCCAGAAGGGTTGCCTGCTTGGGCTTTCAATTCGCAATCTGTTAATAGTTACAGGAAAATGTAAGTGAAGTTCCAGTCGTTCATGTACACACTGGCCACACGCTTGATGTTGAAACAAAACGCCTTTTTAAGTTTATTCACCAGCTTTACTCCTGGGGTTTGAATTATTTCTTGAAAGGGAAAATCTATGATGTGTAAAAGACGAGTCCGGCTTCGGTCCAGGCAGCTTTAGTCTGGGCACCGTTTGCGCAGCATAATAACGCACCACGTGTTCTTAAAACGTGTGCGTGTTTGATATGTGTGAGGTGAATTTAACTCCTCATTCCTGGTTTCATTCCTGGTTTCTTTTGTTCAAGTGGATCCACCGACAAGTGTAGCAGCCTGAACACCCAGTCCACGGTAATCTTGATCGCCTAAGCCGGCCGACCGGTAAGACCCCTCACCGGCAGGCTCTAAATCACTAGAAATCGGGTAATGGTTTCTGATGTAGCGCAATTCGGTCACTTCTAATTGGTGGACGCTTGGCTCCTAGTTAGCGACGGACGGTACCTGAGAAGAGGAGGGTGAAGGATTCCTGGGGAGCTCGCCTGATAAGAATACTCCGATTCTTAAGTTAGAATACTCGAGAGGGCTGTAAAGGATGCAAAGAGAGCTAAGAGTGCAGATAGCGCTAGATCAGTAAAATTCAGGATTACCTTCGCCCCTTCGACCCTGGGGCCTTTAAATGCATATGTCCTTGTCAAATCGGGCGTAATTGCCACTGGCCCTCCATCGCAGCCGTTATCTGCCATGGTTGCGTAGGTAATTTTTGCAGAGTACTGTCCAATCGGATGGGAGACACGACCTGGAAAGGATAGATATGCCATCACATGTTGAGAGACGTGGGTGCAGTCTGTTGGGCTGGCAGGGACTGCATCGTCAGTCAGGAGACGTGATGCAGTCTGACGGGTACGGTCTCGCCAGATAAGAAGCTTCCTGAGAACGCCGTGTCATTTGACAGCGAGTTGCTTTGTAGCGAGCTGCCTTGCAGCGAGCTCCTGGATGTGTCCCGAGGTGATTTCTCCTGAGGTTGCCTTTGGGGCAGTCTTCTTGCCTAAGTATTGGAGCGAGCTGATTCTCTCAGCTTGCGAGCTGGGATGGACTTGACTTAGAGTATTCCCATTCCACATATCGGGGTCCTTGAGCTCGCGTTGTAGCGAGCTCATTCCTTGGCGAGCTATAATGTAGCGAGCTCATTCCGTGGCGAGCTATAATGTAGCGAGCTGTCCTGCGAGGACCTTAACGAGCTCGTTACTTAGTCGTATCCAGGCTGTCATGCTGAGCTGTTGCTTTCGTTGAGTCACGTCCACGTGTCGCCTTCCTAGGAGGTCGGGTCAAATCACCCTCCATCAATTGCTCCCCACTCCTTGGGCTAAAGGTTCTACCCTAGCGCGAGGAGTTCATGGAGTGTGACAGGTGGATTTGACCTGAAATTCAAACTTGATTGACCGATCGAATTAAATACACACGCGGATGTTAGGTGATTTATGGACTTTTCGAATGCCAAAAAACACGTCAAAATGGCTCTCAGTTCCAGAAGACGTGCAACCGGCATTACCTTAATCATGGAAGACGTGCAATCAGTCACATTTCGGTTTCAGAAGACGTGCGGTCAGCTTGACTGCGAACCGTTAGATTCTCCTCATTTCCTTTATGCCAATTTGCCTAGCTTTCAGATTTGTGGTCGCGCCTTCACCTAGCTGCTTGAGCTCTTCTCCTGTTCACACCGTCTTTTTGGTTCAACTTTTCCCTAGTGAGTCTTATCATTTTGTCAGCATGTCTGGGTGTCCGTACAACGTCTTTCCCCGAGGCGGTAACCAAGATGACGCCCCTTCGAGCTCAGGGGGARCTTGGGGGCAGGCTCCGGAGGCTCGGAAAGCTATCTGGCTCCTTGTCCCGTGAGGTGGAAGCCGTCTCGTCAGAAATCTATTTGTCGATGGAGAGACTTAGGACCTTGGTCCTTCAATTCAACCTTCCCAGAAACATCATCTATAGTTTCCCATCCGGTGACTATCCTTGGGAACATGGTCACGATGAGATCGTGATCTTCCAGGAACAACTCATCGCTGGCCTTCGTCTTCCTCTACATCCTCTGATAGCGGAGGTTTTAAACCATTTTAACATTACCATAGACCAGCATCACTCCAACTCAATCCGAAATGTAGTTGGGACAATTTCTTTATTTTATGAATACTGTATTCCTCTTAACATCGGCATCTTCTCCACCATCCTTTCTATCAAGAATGCTTCCCCCGGAGCGCCTCCAGAAAGGCGTTCCTATTATTTTTGTCCCCGTCCCGGCTTCAAGCTCCTGCACGATTCAGGATTCAGGTGTTGACTTGGATCCCAAAGTTTGGGAAACGCTGCAATCCTGGGCAGAGGTTGGCTTCCATTGGTCGAACTACTTGACCGAGGACAAGCTCGCACAGGCCGGCCTAAGCCCCGGTAGGTTGCCTTTTAGGTCGCGCAATGCCTTGTAATTTTTTTTTGTTGGACTAATGCGTTGTGATTTTTGGCAGCCAACATGTTTGGTGTAGATGCGTGCCGTCATCAAGCAACCAAAAGCGCATGGCGAAGAGGTTGCGCCCTGACCGAGCTTCCACTTCCAGGAGTGCTGAGTTCGAGGCTACTGATCCAGCCTTCATTCCACCACCGCCCGAGGTCCCACCGGTCCCGTTCGATGGAGTAGCCACGGAAGGTGGCGCAAAAGAACACGAGGTCCCGATGCAAGGGCAGTTCCCTCCGTCTGAGCAGTTACCCCTTTGCCTTCCCGCGGTTCCCTACCGGAGAGTGGGAAAGCGTCACCGACGAGGAGGTCGCCAACTAGGGAGGGATGGACCCCAAGCAGCTCGCCAGGCTAGCCTCCGCTCACTACATGGTGGTAAGTGGCTGCTTTTTTCTTCTTTTCCTTTCCTCTCCTTCTTTTTTCTTTTTTTGACCTCGGCCTTTTGTTGGCAGGTGAACTCCGCCATCCACGCCATGGCCCTCCAGACCAACATTCACTCCGACGACGCTCTCACTCAGAGGTCAACCGTGCAGAAGCTCCTAGGCGAGCTCGACCGGGCCCGAGGTGAAGTCCTTCAGGCTCGAAAGGGGAGCGAGGCCTAGGAACTGCTCGTCCGAGACCAGGAGGCACAGATCGCTCGACTATTTGAGGAGAGCGCTCGCTATTAGGAGGAGTCATCGAGGGTGGTAGCGGAGAGGGAGCTTCTTCGCCAGTAGGTCCGGGACTTGGAGTCCACGCTTCAGGATCGGACTCGGAACTTCGACACCATGGTGGAGGCTGAGCGAGCTAAGGCAGTGTGGGACTTCAAGGACTCCCAGGAGTACCACGACGTCCAGGTGGAGTACGGTTCGAGCTCCTACCATTTTGGATTCAAGCTCTGCCGCTGGCTGGTTCGGAAGGAGTTCTCTGGGCTCAACCTTGAGGGAATAACGATGAAGGGTCTGGATCTAGAGACGGTGGACATGGCAGAGGAGGAGGAGCCTGACTCTCTGGAGGATGATGAGGACGTGGAGGCGGCGGATCCTTGAGGATGGTTGCTCTTGTTTTTCTTTCTTCTGGATGACTTTCTGAAGTGGCTGTTCTCGGGTGTTTGGACCTGGTTTCAAATATCTCTTTTTTTGATGAACTCTCTTGGGCGGTTGGGCCCGGTTTGTTTTCTTTTTAAGAGTTAGTAATGAAATGTTTTGTCTTTTTCTTCTAAGTATTGTGTGCTCTTTACTTTTTGCCGAAGCGATTTTATCACTCGAGCTGTTAGAGCTACATACACGAAGTAGGATCTTTCGATAATTGTTACCCCGAGCTGTTCCTCCATACTTGGGGTAGTCTTATGGTATACCCCGAGGTGGTTATCATAGTAAGCCCGAACTGTATGCACCTGGGTTAAGTTGACGTGGGTTGTCCCTTATCGGGTTCAACTAGTATACCGAGGCGGGCTACGCTCAATAGGGTTCCCGCTTGAGCTGCCTATGCCTTCGGTATTAATACTTAGCCTTTGCCGATGAAACGGTTAGGTCTTCACAGTGCCAAGGTCTTGGTTAGCTCGACGTTTTAGCCCTTAGGCCGAGGGAGTGACTTATAGTTTGCCCATGCCATAGAGGCGACTGGGTCTTATCGCACCAAGGTCTTCGTTAGCTCGACATTTTGGCCCTTAGGCTCTGGGAGTGACTCGTGGTCTACTCAGTAGTTCGCCCATGCCATAGAGGTGACTGGGTCTTATTGCGCCGAGGTTGTCGTTAGCTCGGCATTTTGACCCTTAGGCTCTGGGAGTGACTCGCGGTCTACTCAGTAGTTTATAGGTAATATTTCCTTAAGTTGACAATATTCCATGCCCGAGGTACTTGTTTCCCTTCTAGGGTTTCGAGCTCGTATGTTCCTTCCCTAAGCACCCGCTTTACTCGGTAGGGTCCTTCCCAATTTGGCCCGAGTTACCAACACCGGGCTTAAGCACCATAACTTTACGAAGGGCCAGGTTGCCGATGTGGAGGTTCCGCTTCTTGACCCTGGCGTTATAGTTCCGAGCTACTCTCTGCTGGTAGGCCACGGTCCTAATATATGCGAGGTCTCGTACTTTGTCAAGTAGGTTGAGGTTGGTGCGTATTTCATCTTCATTTACCTTGTCATCATACGCTTCTAGTCATAGCGAGG